TGTTATCCACCATTTGCCATCTACTTTCTTCCATGTTTAACTGTTTCACCTTCGTTTCACTTTGTTCTGTATTCCCTATTCCCTATTATGGTTATTGTTATTATTGTGGTGGCGTTGGCACCATGCTTGTTTGCAAGCCACTTTATATATATATATATATATATATATATATATATATATATATATATATATATATATATAATTGGTGTTAATATATTATATATATATATATATATATATATATATATATATATATATATATATATATATATTATACTCTGATATTTACAGCTGAATTTACTCATTAAAAGCCCGTTATGGATCTAAAAAATATGGACTAAAAGAAAGATGTGACGAGTGGAATGAATTTGTAGCCAGAAGTGATAGTGATCAGGTGATAAATGTGTTGTGTTCGAAATGTTAGCTTACTCCTGAATTTTGCGGAGGCATGATAGGCATCGGAGGTAGTGGTGGAGGTGGAGGTGGAGCAGCGCCACCTGCCGGCGGGGATCCTCGTAACGCGGACGCAGGAATATGAGAACCACGGGGATTCCAAGAAAGTCCAGTAGTATGGTATTGTTTGATAAAAGTAAACAGCTCATCCCACACATTCATGAGAGCTTTGGTCCACTGAACATGTTTCGGATCCCTGGGTTGAAGGAAGCAAGGAAAAAACTCATGACCACAAATCAGATAAACCAAATATAACATCGACGAATCAAATACCAAACAGATACAGTAGAGCGAATGGTGGGGAGCACAAAAAAGATGCAGAGAACAAAAACACTATGGACTTGTCCTACCTTAACAGTTGTTCACATTTTAGCTTCCGTCTTAGGTGCGAGTGCTGGAACTGCTCACCTTGGTTCCCTTGATTGTGGCAATACCCTTGGTTGACTTGAAGGTCGCATTCTTATTAAACTTCTCTCTGATTGCGGCTTGGTATCTGATATGTTAAACGGTCTTGGAAAATACTCTTTTAGGACAAACTTTAACTCATGTAATGGTAAGTCTTCATTTTCTTCTAGCGTACACTCTGGTGTTTTGTCTGACGCCAATTTTCCTCCATTCTTTTTATAACTGTACATAAACAACCTGCTTGTTCCTACCAACTTTATTGTTTGCAAATACGCTGACGATGAGGTGAGTGGGTTCCCCTCCAGTAACGATTTATTTTTGAGCCAACTTTTGGTCGCTTATCCGATCTCTTTTGCTTAATATTTCAGAATGTGTTGATGTTCCCTGCAACCTTAATTCCGGCTCCCGTTATCACACACTTTTGAATGACCTATTTGAACTCGTCCTTAACAGGATTCCCAAAAATGATTCTGTTAAATATCTTGGCGTCTTTCTATTACCCAAGCTCTCCTGGACTAGCCATCTTACAGAAGGTCAACAACAGCGTTCGCTTTAGGCTTTCGAGCTTAGAAAGCTCGCTGTGCCCCCGGAAACTTATTTTCAACTTTGTGGTTGCATGCATCTTTCCTCATTGACTGTATCGTCCCCTTGCATTTTTATCTGGCATGAACGAAAAACATTTCAAATTAATTTTCAGATGCACCAACCTTCTTTCACGGTATAGCGGTATAACCATAAATGCATTGCTTGATGTCATTGTGTGCAAACATGTGAAAGAATAGCCAACAGAATCTTGAACAATGAATACCATGGCTTGCACGAAATCTAAAATCTGAATC